CCAGAAAAAAAAAAAGATTTTTTAAGGAAAATAAAAGAGAACAGAAAACAGGGAAAGTTTATACCCAGCACGCCGGCCCAGTTCGGACCTCAATAAACACGCGCTGCCCGAGCGAGGTACACACACGAGACCGTCTAAATTTTGTATTGTCAAAAATTGAACGGCTATGATCGCGAGTTTGAAAAGATCCAAAGATTTGAAATTCATCAAAAAAATCATATCGTACGGTCTGAGTTTTATCAGGTAAGGGGTCTTGGTGCGGTCCCTCACCGCAGGTAAGGACGTCCCTACCAAATATCTACTTCCCTACTTTCTCGTCGTGTTTTGGGGCCTTTCCTTGTTGCTGTTTCTGAGGCTTGTTTGAGTATTAAAAAAAAAATAAAAATCTGAGGCTTATTCATGGCGGAGAGACTGGATGACGGCGAGTTTTTGCTGCCTCCTCAGTTGCTAACAGACGACGACGTCGTGCTTATGCACCTGGGGTCTGATGTTTCCAAGTCTCTGTTTCCCTTTGAGTTACCGTACCGTTTTGGGTCTTTTGGGTTGTCTTCGGATCTCAGCTCTCCGGTTGAGTCTGTTTTCGGTTCCACTGAGACTGAGAGCGACGAAGAGGAGTATCTTTCTGGGTTGACTCGTCAAATGGCTCGCTCGACTCTCCAAGACAATTGGAGGCAAAACGAGCGCGCATTCGCCACTGAAAACACCAAGGTTAATTTGTTCAATACTCGGTTTGTAGTTAATTGAATAAGCTCTGATTTGGAATTTTTGCTTATGGTGGTTTGTTTATTCAATTGCAGGGTTTGCTGCTTTCTGGGTCACCTCAATCGATGCTGTGTGCGGTAGGGAGTAGCTGTGGGTGTAGGCAGTGGTCTAGCCGTGGTAGCCCCAGGCGTCAATCGCTACTCCCTTCGTCGCCAAGAACTTGGGATCTGCTGCATGCGGCTACGGTGGAAGTTACAAGGATGCAAGGTAAGGAAGAACCGTTCAACCATGAAAGAAGCCTCCTCGCTCCCCCAAAGAAACCTCCCACAAATCTTGACGTTGGTGGGTTTTACTCATCCCAGTCGCTTTCTCACAAGAAGTTGCAGTCTACTCAGGCAAGCACAAATAGAAAATACTCCATTTGTTCAATGAAAGATTGTGCATCTTCCTTTTTTGGGTAGTCGCCATTAATTGGGTGGTTTTTGTCTTTTGCTACAGTTTCCGCAGCTGAAACGGGAGCAACAGATAATGAGACAACGAAGTGCATCGGCATGGGCGGTTCCGAAGCAGCAGCCCCATGTGGCCCAATTAGTTGGTGGCAGGTCTTCTAGTACCACCAGACCTCTGGGCTTGTCGCCATCTGAATGGCCTCCTGCGCAGCAGTCACTGTCTCACAACGGGTCGGGTATGCGGGCCGGGTTTCCGGGTAATCCCTCCGGCAAAAGGAAATGTGCTGGTACTGGTGTTTTCCTGCCTCCCAGAGTTGGTTGCACAACCGAAACCCGCAAGAAGCCAGGTCCATACTACATACTCCTATGCTTTTTCAAGATCTGGGTTGGTCTTTATTTGATCTTTTACCATGGATTGTGAAAGCAATGTTGATATCCCTGTTTTTCCTTCACAGAGTGCTGCACCATCTTACTTCAGGGGAAAGTCGTGCAGGCGTTGAACTTGAATCTAGATGAAATTGGTCCTCAGCCGCATTTCAACAGAAGTTACACCCTGGGCACTGGTAAATTCCCGTGTCTGTTTCCTTGTTTTCCTCTCAAATCAGCTTTTAATTAGTTAGTTATTTGCCCATAATTTGTCATGTTGAGCAGATGCTGCCATGAGAGCTGGAAATGCTAACATCTTTTCCAATCAAAGACGCAATTTTAAGCCACAACAAGGGATGAACGATGAACTCCGGTTACCTCAGGAGTGGACGTATTGACTCAATCTCTTTTAGGGTCTACTAATTCTGCTCTGTCTTTCTGGGAGTTTCTGAGGAGTGAAAACAGTTCTAGAATTAGAAAAAAGAGAAAATGTGAAGTTTTTAGTTTGCCGTAGGAAAGTAGTAGTGCAGATACATAGGATATTAATGAAATGGATGAAACATGATTTTGCTAATGAAGAAGAAGGAGAAACTGAAATTGTGTTTTTTGATAGGTTTAGTTGGAAATAATTTTTTTTCCTAGTTTGATGAAAGCAATGGATGCTATGGTAGCTACTCTTCTGTCCCTTCTTCTGGACTCAATGAAATGAGGTTAAATAGATAGGATTTACTCTCTGACCTCTGTAATCTACATATGTCATAGCCAATGGTAGTTCCAATTTCCTTAAAAGCGCAATCTCATTTTTCCCTTCTGTATTTTTGAGAAAAGGTGCTATCTAGTTTATTTTTCTCATATTTATAATTCTTTTCTTAAACACTTAGTTATAATATCTAAAAATATTAATCTTTTTTTAGTAATTATTAAATATTTTTAATAATTAAATTCTACAAAATAAAAAATTTTCGAACAATATTATGTGATATAACCATACTCATGAATTAGGAGCCTAAAAAATCTACCCGACCCACAAAAGTGGGGCAGCAGCACGATGGTGAGTGAAGTGGAACAAAGCATGCGGGATTCCTCTTTAAGCCATTGTGTCAAGTGTTGCCTTCTGGCGGATGCCCAGCATGCACGAAAAGCCGACCTGAACGGCTAGTGGAAACGAACACCATTGCACGAACGTACGTACATTATTATGCAAGACTTCTTTAAAATATTACAACGGCTGCTCAACCAACAAACCAAGCCAACCAATCAACCCACCCTCATTTGCTGCTCTCCAAACAATAAAAACAGAGCATTCGATGAATATAATAGTATGATGATGCTGTACGGCTTATTCTCTTATTGCTGACACAGGTAGGTACTTCTCTTAATAAACAATGTAGAATATTTTAGGAGGAAACAAAATGCCCCTATCAGGTTATCTATGGGCATTAAGCAATAAAGAAAAATGATTTTTTGTATAATCTTTTTGTTCTGTTTTTTTATATAATATGACGTGTCATTAAAATTGTTGATTTTTTTAATTCATGTGAAACTTATAATATT